ATATTGTTTGTGCAGCATGTGTGTGATTGTTGTTGCATTCTGCATACATACTTGTATAGTCTTGCATACGCTGTGCTCAGGAACAGTTACGCGTTCAGACGTGTAAACAACAACACAAATCCAGTCGATCTAAAAGCTCTGCTAACCGCGTAAACACCAAACACCCGTGATTGTTTTTGCTTTTTGTCATCTCTGCCTATACTTCTTCTACCGTGTGGACTAGACACGGCCACTCTGCTTGTCATTTCAGCCATCTGTGTAGCTACTGCACTGACAAACACATATTGTCGCTATGCTTACCTGCTGCATAAAAAATTATGCGTTTAAAAACAAAATTGCAACTGATCAGTTTTTATCATGCTGGCTTTGCAATAACTTGTCGCATGTTAAATGCGCAGGACATAATGGACGCGTACTTGATTTTATTTTGCTACGCATGGGACTCAATTGGACTTGTCCGGATTGCAGACCTATGGAAATGGTGATGCGAACTAACATGGTGCAAACCAGGAATGGACTTAAGGATATAAATGATAATTAAAGATCGTTGGCCTCCAAATTTAATGCTCTCGACTCGTTTTTTAACGGATTACAACTGCGGTCTAAATCTCATAGAAGGAACAGGAATAAACGTAACTCGTTGACGGATTCTGATAATAATAACGTTTTGCAAATTTCAGTTCCTGACCGAGCTACTACGCCAAACTTTATCATATTGTCGCCTACGTTTGATGCTCCTGCACGGTCCCTTCAAACGGATAACTCTTTAATGAACTCCGATGGAATCTCTTGCCCACAGCAACCATCGTCTCCTCTGTTACCTGGTGCCTCTGTCACTACTGCCACTAGCACAGATTTAGTGGCCGATTCAGAAAAGCGAATTTCTACTAATGTTACCACAACTGCTCCAATTGCTACAGCGGAGGTTTCATTGGCTCAGTGTAACAATACTCAAACAGATATTCGTCCGTCAAATTCGGCTGATGTCTCTAAGGAACTAGCTGCAGCACCTGTTAATGATTTTAATCATCGAACTTGCTATCAGATGCCTTCCGTTGTTGCTAATGGCAATGCATCGCAACTTCATGTTGTCCACCCAAATCCTTTGTCCACAATTTTCTCCTCTTCTGTTATGGTAGCGCCTGAATTATTGAAAACAGTTGCTCCCCATAAATCTATCTTTATTTAGCGATACTTACCGAACACCTCTAAACTTGATGAGAAATTCCACATTACTAACCACCTTCTGCTTACTGAAAACAACCGAGTTAATTGTTAGAAACTTCAATTTTAAACAGAATAGAAACTACTCCTCGTTCAAGGTTGATCTGCCTGAGTCACTATTTTCTAAGGTTGTAGATCCTGTTATTTGGTCTGAGCAAACTATTGTGCACGAATACGAAAGGAGAGAAAAGTCGCGTTCATCCTCCCTCTTTCGACGCTGATATCATAGCTTTTTCTGAAACTTGGCTTAGTAGTCATGATTCAAATGATGAAATTCTTGTTAATAATTATATAATTCACCGGCTTGATAGACCAAGTCGTGGAGGAGGTGTATTAATTGCCGCCTCAATAGATTTTTATCTCTTGCTCGTATATAAGCCCTTCCTCTGATCTTAATGTTTATATGCACCATTTAGCCGAAATGAAATAAATATTATCACTTATTTGTGATAATGATCACTTTATTGTTTTAGGTAACTTTAACTTACCCTTCATTTATTACCTTCTACTCAAAATGATTTCGTATATGGTCTCTTGGACCTCTCTCTAAACCAAATTAACGGTTTCAAAAACTTCCGAGCTAAAATGATTGATTTCATATTTGTGGATGATAGCTCAAGATACAATGTATCTACTATCGACCCTCTTTCCACTCCCGAAGATCCCTACCATCCGACACTTCAAATTATTTTCAAGCTAAATATGTGCCCTATGAAGCCCTTCGATAATTTTAAGGGAAAAATGTGAATCAAATTTAGTCTTTTCTTAATATTCTATCACTAGGTCCAAATTTAATTTAGTAAACACTGAATGCTAAAAAGATCTAAATCGTTGCAGATTAAAGTTTCGTGATGACCCCCGCCGTTTTTATTATTTCGTTAATTGAAAGCGCAAATCACACTCCTTACCACTTTCTATGTTTTTGAATAGCCGAAAAGCGGATTCGACTGGGGACATTTCCAATATTTTCGCTACATTTTCCAAAGCACTTATAGTTCCTCTACCTCTAATAGATGAACTCCTTACCCATTCCCTATATCTCATTCAACCATCTTCTGCAACCCTAGAATAATAGAATCTGATCTCCAGAATTTAAAATCACTGAAGAATTTTTTTTCCACTGGCACTGATCTGGTACCCAGCAGTATTTTAAGATACTGTGCTTTTTCTCTATGTCCCCCTCTCTTAAAACTATATAATTGGTCTCTTACAAATTTTTATTTTCGCTCTCTATGGAAAGAATCATTTATCTCTCCCATTTTCAAGAAGGGGATCAAGGCGTTGAGACGTATCATACCAAAAATGTTTGAAAAAATGATTGCATCTCAAATACAACATCATTGTAAGTCGATTTTCTCTGATTCCCCACATGGTTTTATTAAATGCCGTTCAACCTCCACTAATCTGGAGTTTTCTTCAAACGTTACTGATGGATTTATACAAAATCGACAAATCGACGTTGTTTAACCTGAATTTAGCAAAGCCAGTACAGCCCCCCCCCCCCCCCCCCCCCCCCCCCCCCAAACTGCAGCAACAAGTTCGCTGTTCTTCTTCCTCTTTTTGCTGCTGCTATGGGCGCATATAACTCAGTGACGGAAGTTTATCTGGGTACAGGGTATTACACTGTCGGGCTTCCTCGACTGTAGCGTTCTCTCTTGTTTTAATTTTAAAATTAATTTTAAAAAATTTAATTATTTTATTAAATTTTAAAAAATATATTCAATACATACGTGGAGACATATGTTTATGTTTCAACGGCATACATTTTCATCATCGTGTTTATGCGTCTATACAAGAATAAGTCGGAGCAGCAGAAACAATAACATCAGCTGCCAGTAGAGCTGCAGGCAGAGCATAAGCAGCATTTTTATTAATGGCTATAAATTTCTTTAATCAATCATAATAAACAAGGGTGTATGTTTTTTCCATACAAAGTCGACCACACGTTCATTATTATAACGCACTATTTCGCCTTAAAATGGAACTGAGTTGGATTTATTGAAGTTTTTTTATTGATCATATGCATAAATTATTTTTTAAATGCATCGTGCATTATTTAATCAAAATTTTACTTTTGAGTTATTATTTTGTTTATTCTAGCACCTATACTTTCTGAGGTCCTTGCGATCGGCTTGTCATATTGAACAAGAATGTATATACTTTGTGGGGTCTGCCAGGACTCCTTTTGTGTGTTACATACATTCTTTCAAAACTACTATAGCGTTTTACCTTCCTGGTACAGGTTATAAAAATTAAGAAAATTACAAACTACTTGTTTGTAAGGTAAAGTCGGGTGTTCCGACTTTGAAATACTATGTACATATGTTTAAAATAATTATAGAAATTTAAAAAAATTAAAAGAATTAAAAAGAATTGTTTATCGATTTTATCGCTCTCGGTATTCGAACTCACGTATAGAGTGTATAGTATACATAATTGCACGTATATAAAACAATGAATGTCTATGCGCTTCTATTCGTCTCTGTGTAAACATGTTTGCAGTCAACCAAACAGCAACATTAACAACAGGAAATATATTCATGGATATAATTTCTTGTTCTTCTTCTTTCGGTCTATCATAGTGAAACGGACACATAATTACCAACTGGGGGAATTTGCAAATTTGAGTTTGAAATTCCAAGAATTACGGGAGTTACAATTTGCTGGGGAGAGGGGGGCGGGAGGGAAATTCCAAAATACATATTTTCTGCGTATTCACATAAGGCATCATGGATTAAAATTTGGTGTCCCTAGGTCTTATAGTCTCCGAGATATCTCTATCTCTTATAGTCTCTGAGATCCAGGTGTTCATACGGACGGACAGACAGACAGACAGACAGACAGGGCTAGATCGACTCGTCTCGTCATGCTGATCAAGAATATATATAGTTTGTGGGGTCTGCCACGCCTCCTTCTGCCTGTTACATTTTTCAGCTCCCGCAAACCTAATATACTTCTGTACATTTCATGTACAGAGTATAAAAAGAACAAATCAATTTATTTAAAGCCCAAATATAAAAAGGAAAGTAAACAGGACTTTTTGAATCTTGCACCCCCTGGTGCATATGTGGACTGGTGCGTTAGAATCTGATATCTTTATCGATTTTCCAATTTCATGACATTTCATCGATTGGAAGTGAAGTTATTGCGTTTTAAGTGTCAGTATGTCCTATCGAAACTTTGGGTGAATTCATCAAAAATCAGCCGAAATCATCATTGAAATTGATGGAAATGGAATTGAACATCTCCAAAACATCGATTTATCGCATTTTGACCGAACGTTTGGGCATACGAAAGATGTGTGCTCAGTTTGTTCCGCACAACTTGACTGACGACCAAAAATTGCTCTCATCGATCGAAGCTTGTGACCGATTCTACCTTTTCGGAAAAATGCATGAAAGGCTTACTGGCGGCCATACCGGCCAACGAGCTAAAACACTCGTTCTACATACTTTTGGATCGTGCAAAAATCTATATTAAAGCAGGAGACTATTTTGAATAAAATAAATTGATTTTGCCGAAAAACCCATTTGTTCTGATTTTTTTTTAAGTCCTGTTTACTTTATAACACACCTTGTATATATATTTTGCAAGGTATGCCAGGCACTTATCTAGCCGTTACATACATTTGCACTAAACTTGTATACCATTTTAATACAGGGCTAAAAAAATAAACAAAAAATATATACTAAATACATATGTTACAAGACTGAAATGAAAATACTTGCCATGCATCATTTATGTATAACTAAATATTACGTCTCACCAAATCGTACCTTGATTAGCTTATACTCCCGAGAGTCCTGGAAAGCCGGATATTGCTGTGAATACTTTTCGATGGCGTGCTGCGCATTTAACAGATCAACGCTTAAGTGACAGAGAGCAGCACGGAAGAAATACTCCTTGGCACTGTATTTAAGCAGCGAACTCTCAAGCGACGAGGCAGCAACTTGCTCGTATATAGATATGGCCTTCTCATAATCCTCCAATTGAGCAGCATACTGAGCAACTTTGAGCATGCACTTGTTGGCAGAGCTAACAGACTCTTCGCCCTTAAAATAGTCCGCAGCCTGTTCGTAATGCTGTATAGCTTTAGCCTTGAAAATATGAAAAACAGATTAAATGTGGCGACATTTCAGTACATTAGAGAATGTTACAGTAAAAGCAACAGAGAACGCTCAAGTCCAGCAAGCCCGACAGTGAAATACCTTGTACCCAGACAAACTTCCGACTTTGAGTTATATGCGCCCATAGCAAAAGGAAGAAGAGCGAATTTGGTGCTGCAGCTTGTGGGCGTAGTACCGGAGTGAAATTGATGGCTAATAACTTTTCTTCGAATTAACCGAAAAGCATGAAATTTAAAATACAAGTAGATAATCAGGGGTGCCACAGAAATCTCTTCCTCCCAAGTTTCTCCTCAAAACCAATTCTCGGTGCCACAGGTGCTTTTGGGATGTTTGAAATCTTGTTTGCTTTGCAGAAGTTTTGATTAAAAACACCAGAGAACTCCAAGGAGTTCTACACTTTCGATCATACTCGAATATTTACCCATACTTGGTATGATAATTTCATTTGGGTATAGTGACAAGCAATGACTGGTTGCGAACGAGCCCTCAACGAACACTCAGTTCGAATCAAAGCTGCAAAAACTCAGAAGTGAGCGGTTGTGCCCGAAACTTCTTGCATGAATGCAAGTAATGATTGGTTTTAAACGAAACCTTACCAACCAGTCAGTTCGACTCACAACTGCAAAAACTCGGCTATTAGTTCAATAGTAACTTGGTATACAAGTTTGTATATGCATATAAATTATATGCAAGTATGTATATGCATATAAATTAAAGAATCCAACAAAACTATTAGCTTCCTTTTTAGTTTTTGGAGTTGCAGTTTTGATATTTTAATTTATTTTAATTTGTTTATTTTAAGATATTTGAGTTCCTTTTCTAAAAAACAAGTAAAAAAGCTAAAGTCGGGTTCCCCGACTTTGAAATACTCTGTACATATGTTAACAATAATTATAGAAAATAAAAAAAATTAAGAAAATTAAAAAAAATTTTTTTTATCGATTTTAACTTTCCCATGTGCATGAATGCAAGTAATGATTGGTTTTAAACGAAACCTTACCAACCAGTCAGTTCGACTCACAACTGCAAAAACTCGGCTATTAGTTCAATAGTAACTTGGTATACAAGTTTGTATATGCATATAAATTATATGCAAGTATGTATATGCATATAAATTAAAGAATCCAACAAAACTATTAGCTTCCTTTTTAGTTTTTGGAGTTGCAGTTTTGATATTTTAATTTATTTTAATTTGTTTATTTTAAGATATTTGAGTTCCTTTTCTAAAAAACAAGTAAAAAAGCTAAAGTCGGGTTCCCCGACTTTGAAATACTCTGTACATATGTTAACAATAATTATAGAAAATAAAAAAAATTAAGAAAATTAAAAAAAATTTTTTTTATCGATTTTAACTTTCTCGGTATTCGAACTCACGTAAATGGTGTATAATTGCACATTTACATAGCAATTGCGTCTGTGTGAGTGTATGTATGCCTATGCGCATCTATTCGTGTCTGTGTAAACATGTTAGCAGTCAACCATGCAGCAGCAAATATATTAATGAATATAACATATTGTTAAATCGGTCTATCATAGCGAAACTTGGCATACCGACACATAATAACCAACTAAGGGTATTTCAAAATTAGTTCGAAATTCCAAGAATTACGGGAGTTACGATTTGCGGGGTAGAGGGGGGAAGGAGGGAAATTCCAAAATATACATTTTCTGCGTATTCACACAAGGCATCTTGGACTAAAATTTGATGTTCCTAGGTCTTATAGTTTCCGAGATATAGGCGATTATACGAATGGAAAATCGGGAAAACCCCCATAGGGGGAAGTGGGGGGGAAAATCAAAAAAATAAAACAAACTCGTATAGAATACACACATAAGCCATCTTTGTGCAATATTTGGTTTCTCTATCTCTTATAGTCTCTGAGATCCAGGTGTTCATACGGACGGACAGACGGACAGACAGACAGGGCTAGATCGACTCGTCTCGTCATGCTGACTCCGTACATTTCATGTACAGAGTATAATGAAATCATGCTAAATATCATAATATAACAAGTAAACAAGAGAGAACGCTACAGTCGAGCAAGCCCGACAGTGTAATACCCTGTACCCAGGTAAACTTCCGTCACTGATATGTGCCCATAGCAGCAGCAAAAAGAGGAAGAAGAAGAGCGAACTTGTTGCTGCAGTTTGTGGGGGTTGTACTGGCGAGAATTTGTTTCGCTAATAACTTTTCTTAGAATTGACCGAATTGAATAAAATTTTGAACAACAGTAGACAAATATATATAAATTATGTGTGCAAAGTTTGGTTTAGGTAGCATTTGAAATGTGGACGCTATTGACGAAATTCTGCAGCGGGGGAAGGGGGGGAAAATTAAAAAAAAAAAAATAAACTCGTCCTTACTCGGACCTAGGAGAATCTGGATGCCAACTTTGGTTATTCTAGCTTTTATAGTTTCTGAGATCCTCGCGTTCATCCAGACGGACAGACGGACGGACAGACGGACAGACGGACAGACGGACGGACAGACGGACGGACATGTCTAGATCGATTTCTCTCGTCATGCTGATCAAGAATATATATACTTTATGGGGTCGGAGATGCTTCCTTCTGTATGTTACATACTTTGCACAAACCTAATATACCCTTTTTACCCTACGGGTACAGGGTATAAAAAGCTAAAGTCGGGTGTCCCGACTTTGAAATACTCTGTACATATGTTTACAATAATTATTCGAACTCACGTAAAGGGTATATAATTGCACATATACAAAGCAATTGCGTCTATGTGAGTGTATGTATGTTTATGCGCGTCTATTTGTGTCTGTGTAAGCATTTTCGCAGTCAAGTAAACAGCAACATCAACAACAGCCGTGGGCAGCGCTTGGGCAGCGCTGCAGCAGCAAATATATTTATGGCTATAACTTCTTGTTAAATCGGTCTATCAACTTGACACACGGACACATAATAACCAACTGGGGGTATTTCCAAAATTTTAGTTAGAAATTCCAAGAATTACGGGAGTTAGAGAAAATCGCATTTGCGTGGGAGAGGGGGGAGGGAGGGAGATTCCAAAATATACATTTTCTGCGTATTCACACAAGGCATCTTGGACTAAAATTTGGTGTTCCTAGGTCTTATAGTCTCCGAGATATAGGCGATTATACGAATGGAAAATCGGGAAAACCCCCATAGGGGGGAAGTGGGGGGGGGGGGGGGAATCAAAAAAATAAAACAAACTCGTATAGCGTACACACATAAGGCATCTTTGTGCAAAATTTGGTGTCTCTAGCTCTTATAGTCTCTGAGATCTAGGTGATCATACGGACGGACGGACGGACAGACGGACAGACAGACAGACAGGGCTAAATCGACTCGTCTTGTCATGCTGATCAAGAATATATATACTTTGTGGGGTCTACCACGCCTCCTTCTGCCTGTTACATTTTTCAGCTCGCGCAAACCTAATATACTCTTGTACATTTCATGTACAGAGTATATAAATAAATATATGTATACATATGTTTTCTTTTCATTCTGTACCTCTATATTTAAAATACGTACATACATATACACATTTTTGCGCATAATTGCAAACAACACATGCAGGCACAAATACATAAATATGTACATATGTACATATACGGTCATACTCGGGTAAAACCCACGCAATATTCTAGACATACTCGGGTAGAATCTGCGCAATACTCGAGTAATACCCGAGTATTGCTCGCGCAATACCCAAACAATACTCGACCAATAACGGCACTATACTCGTTCGATCAAACGCTCATTCTGCAAAGTCTGGTTTGTTTCTATCAGGACCTAATATTAATAAAATAGCAGGTAATGCCCGTCATAGCCCGGCTCAATACACTAGTAATATCTCAAATTGTATTAATATTGTGCATGACCTACCCATATGTTTTCACTTTATTAGTTGCCAGTTGGAAGGAATTTAAGGTATTTAAATGAACATTTTCCGTTCTTGACAAAAAATTTTTCAGTAGTCCGTTACATTTTTGTTCTTGCCGAAATAGTTCGTTAAACGTATCAAACGTGATCAAAAAATGTGAAGGAAAGATTAGGAGCGTGCGAATGACTTGCAGTTGCTGTTGTTGCTTTTAGTTTTAAAAATTTCATTTATGATTTAAAACCGTGATTTAGAAGCGTGTATGCGTAGTGCGACAAGGGCGTACGCATCATTTTTCAAAGGGGAACCAAAAAATTAAAATTGTAGTTAATGCCAAATGTACTAAACCAAGAAAAAATTACTTTTAAAAATGTTAAATAGTTTTTAATTAATTTAATTTCTTGTCCTGTCAGTGCAAGACGAATGTACATGTACATGTAAATACAACAATTTTTTTCGGGGTGCTGGTTGAAATAAGCTGTGAACCACTGTATGTACATCGTTTGATATATGTGCAAAATTTGTTTTTGATATTACCGTTATTTTAATAGATGTTTTAGTGATTTGAATATACAATTTTTTTCTCTTTTACTTTGTGTTGCTTTCTCATACATTCGTTTCTTATCAGCTCTTTATCTCAACTACCGTTAGCATTTAAAAGAACCCCAGATCATGCATTTTATAGCAAATTGATAAATGTGCATTTTATCCTTTTAAATTTTAAGTATGAACCAAACTTATTATCTCCAGAAAAAAAAAGAATGGTTAAGAAGATTTATTGAAGGCTTATTAAAAGCCGTAACGTTGTGTTATGGCGAACTTAAAATTAATAATTATTTCAAATGCCCCGCGAAGACGAGTTAAGCACAGAAAATAAAATAATGATCAAAACTATGGCTGATTATTACATTAAAGTCTGTGTTATTGTTAAAGCAATAAATAAGCATCAGAACGGTAGTCTCAAACTTTTTAAAATTTTCGCCATAATATGCTCAAAACAACCTGAAAAGGGCAGTTGGTGACCGTACTTAACGGCATATTCGAGCTTGGCAACCACCAAAGTAATGAGATGATCCCAAATTAGGGCAGGATTAAA